AGTCTAAGTAGACCATTTGTTGCTGCTTTTTCTCCATTTATGCAGGCGGCATTTGCCGATTGTTACTGGAATTGTAGCGTTGTTCATAAGTTACTGAGTAATTACTAGAATTAGTAATTACTGCATTAATTAGCAATAATTAGTTACTAGAATAATTAGTGCATTCAATTAATTCAATTAATTAATCAGTTACTAGACAATCACACTGTTCGCTTTTGCAGCCAAATAGAAGAGATTAAAATGAAATTGTGGAACAGTCGTAAATGTAGTGGACAAGTGGCAATCGTTTTCACGTATTCAAGGTATGTTTTGTCTTGAGAATATGGAACGTAGTACCACTCCTTATCATTACGAGGGTGATTCCGATGGTGTGTTTACGGTCTATTTGTGACTTGTTTCTTCCTTTAATCTACCTGGTTGATGCTAATCTACGAGATGAACCATAGGCAACGAGCACTGAGCTATTCACTTGAGTAAGTTAAATAGTAATTGTAAGTAAGTAAGTAAGGATAAGTACGGATAATGTAAGGATAATTGTAAGGATGTTTGCAGTTTCTACAGTGATGTGGCACGAGCAACTACAATGGTTGGATATAGTCGCACACTGCCGAAGCTTGTGATCGTGGCCATGGGCACTGGTGTGGACGTGCATCTGCTGAAGGCGATTACGGGTTCGGTGATCAGTGCTGATCAATTCGATCAGAAATTAGCCGCACAGGTCGGTTGGGTTATTCCTCTTGATCACTCTCAGTTGCGACGATCAATTTCGATGAGCGATTGCAAATGCTCTGCTGATACTTGGAGACTGTTTTCAAGTGTAATCACTGAAATCCGTGTGCTCTAGAGATATCCTCACTAGTGTTCTAATCAGTTTTAGATCAATAGTGAACTGTGCTCACCACGAACTTCCCGAGATCGATTACCTGCATTTGTACCTGCCACACAAGCGCCAGCACCATCAAACGAGACAACCACGCAGTCTATCGCACGGTTAGCTCAAACTTGATGCCGTCTGTTGCGACAATAATAATGACAAATAAGGATGACAAATATGCCAAAATTAATGATGACCTCATAAATAGTAAGGAAAATCACAATTGTAAGTAACTACTTTACTCGGTCAATAACAGCAATTAAAAGTAAGCTATTAAAAGCACTGAAAAAGAAGTGTGGTCTCATTATGATGATCGTTTTGACACTATTCGATCAAATTCCATCAAAACACCCAATCGTTAATGTATTTCTTTTAGAACAACAACACGCTATCCGATGCCAGCAACACCACAAAAATCAAATCTCACGTGTAATCCGAATGTGGCCATCGTGATGGACGCCTCGAACGCCACCGGCATCGCAGATATTCATCAGGCAAGTTACCTTTAGTCCGTTGCCTTTTTCATATAGCTGGTGTTTTCACTGAATTCAGAGCACTGTAATGTGTTCTAGAACTCGGATGTCGCATGTCGGATCCGCACCTCAGCCGACGGGAAAAGGCCAAATTAGGTTCTTGAATCTCTTGTGAGGTGGACAGCTCATAGAAACTGGGTTCAACAAATGCTTGTGGATCTTGCGCAGGCAAAACAATGCACTAGCCGGAAATTTGTTCATGAGTACTACGAGTAGCTCCAGTAGAATTTTCTAGCTCCACTAGAAGAATTCCGGGCACTTATGCTGTTTAGTCCCTCCACCCGCACGCAGACAAGCGTCGTGCATTACCATTTCCGCTTTCAACAACACCGCCGCACGTTGTCATGTGCGCTTTAGGCCACGCCCATTCTGTTACGCTGGCTTCGGCCATGCCCTAGCACCCAGTGGGCGTGGCTACGCGCACGCGCGCGTGATCTTGCGTACGGGTNGATATTCATCAGGCAAGTTACCTTTAGTCCGTTGCCTTCTCGTAGCTG